GCGCACCGTTTAAAATGTTGTTGCTTTGCTTTGCTTGACAGTATCGGTTGCTATGTGTATTTTATGTTGAGCAACGCGAGTTACTCAGAGTTACTCAAAATTAACTCTGATTTTACTCATGATCAAAAGCTGTCTTGCCCCAAGGATTATACCATGGAGTGGGTTCATCTTTCGTAGGTTCGGATCCTGCTTCCTCGAGCGTTTTAGTCCACGTTTTGGTTTTTTTAAAGTTGTTTTCGATGCAAAAGACACAGGCAATAATTAACTTCTGATCTTCTGAAAAATGGCGGATGGAAAAAAGAGACAGCTGTATTACCGAAATTCGGCAATGAATGAGGCCAATACCGAAATCTCAGTTAATGCGATTGCTGATTTCGGTATTATTTTTATTTACTGATGTGCTCAGCGAATTACTTTGCGAATTTTGGAAATGTTTTTGGTCAATCTCGGGAAAAATATTTTTGTTGCCGAAATATCAGTAAAATTATGAATTGCCGTGTCAGCTCAGTATTTTTTTTTCTACCGACCTCGCGAATTTGTTTTAAGTGTGTAGTTGTATTGCCATTTGATTAAAAGTTTTAAAAGCTGTTGGAGCACTCTTAAATGATTGTGTACGTTCGGTTTAACTATATGCTTTATAAGACCTACGATAACTTTTATAGCACCTTAGTTAAACTGATTCACAACCCAACTAACATTTACAGCTTTGTAAGCCAACTTTTCCAGCGTTGTGTTGTAAAGTAGCTGAAAAGAAGCTGCAGATACAGCTACAAGCAAAAGCTAGCAAAATATTTTTGGAGAGCGTTTACTCAACTTTCTCACAAACATTATTCAATTTGTCAGTCGCACTGAATAACATCAGCCAATAAACGCTAATGTCACTTCTATACACACACTAATCAACTTTCCACTTGTAGCTGCAAAACAAAGCTAACAAAGTGAATATATTACTCATTTGATGGCTTCTACACAACCAACAACTCTTGCTGAATAACATAAACATCAAAAGTGCTTTTTCAACAACTAAACAACCTGTACTCAGCTTATAAACTGTGTTAGAGCAACTTCGGAAGCATTTTCACAGTCAACTAGGTTTATTTTTAGATGTGTGCAGTTTAACAGCTTTTACTCTGTTTTTTATAACTAGTCGAGAAAAGTGATTCATGTGTATTATTATAAAGCCTCTACTCAGCGATTTTGTTGTAGAAGCGAATGTTGATTTGTTTACATAAGTTCAAAGTGTTGGCGTAGCACAGTTGATAGTGCCAAGGTTTGCCAATGAGGTCGTCTCGAGTTCGATTCCAGGTTCCGGTGCAGGATAAATAATTTGGTGATGATTTGTAACTAATTTCGATTAATTTGATTCACAGCAAAATAAACTCAATAAATTCCTTCATATAAAAAAGCATAAACAGTATTTAACCCGACTTCAAGAGAAAGCTGTGTAGTGATTATTGGATAACTGGGAAAAGGTTGAATAAGCGCCTTTCAAGTTCACATACAATTAAACAGCAGGATAACAGCTGTATAGAAGCGTTAATGGATATGCAATAAGAGCTTCTCCCGACCGTTCCAACAGCCATAAGTAGCTGACTAAGTTCGCCAGATTTGCTTGTATAGAGGTTGAGTAAAGGTTTCCTCATATTGTATAACATTTGAATACAGCTTGAGGCTGTATAAATGAAATGAGTAAAGCGTTTACATTGCGAAAATTGTTAGTTGGGAAGAGCTATACAGAACGTGGAATAAACGCATCAAAACAAACAATTGGGAGCTCTTATAAAACACCTGAGTTGATCAAACGTTGAATAGTAGCTTCCAGAGTTGTACAAGAATGTAGTTGTATTTCCTTTTTGGTTAAACGCTTCAAAAGCTGCTTGGAGCACCCTTAAATGATTGTTTACGTTCGACCAACCACCAACCACAATTTTGTTGCTAAAAATAGCACAAGTGATAGGCACGTTTATATGACCATAAGGCAATGATTATTCGACTGCAAGAGAAGTCACTCAAGATGAGCTTCATATACTTCTCTCATATGATAAAAATATGTATTCAAGAATAGAGCAGATGGAAACAGAAGCGGCTGGCAATCCGAGGATCATGAGTTCGAATCTGGCTTCGAGAAACCCTCGGTGGAGTAGAGGTATATTATATGTATATAGGTGTTATTAATAAATGCAAACATTAATTAAAGACATATATCATATAATCAACGATAACATTTCTAGATAAATTCTCTCAATTAATGATTAGAGAGATTAATTGAAAGAATATCAATCAAAGATTAAACAGATGCTTGTTACTACTTCCTCCATGATCACAGAATGTGAATTATGGCATAATTACATATTTTTTCAATGTGCACAAATAAATTAAATTAATAAAAACTGTACAAGCAATTATTTTGGCGTACCACGACAATTGTTAAACTAATTTTAATCTGTGAATATTGTGAGTACTTACACAACGGTTATTAAGGAGTCATTAAAAAGTGCTATAAACGCTTTTCACCGCTTGCTGTATAGTGATTATTTAGGAGTCATAAAAGAGTGTAACAAACGCCTCAGGTTCAATCTCTAATACATTTCGAAGCAGCTGTTAGGAGGTGTCTACAAACGTTGTATTAGAGCTTTCACCAAAACAATAAAGCTTGAGTTTAAATATGTATCTATAAACGTTGTATAAAAGTTGCTTCTATCCGGTTGTTAAGGAGTCATTGAAAAGTGTTATAAACGCTTTTCACCGCTTGCTGTTCAATTAATATTTAGGAGTCATAAAAGAGTGTAACAAACGCCTCTCAGGTTTCCTCTCTACTAAATTTCAAAGCAGCTGTCAGGAAGTGTCTACAAACGTTGTATAAGAGCTTTCACCAAAACCAAGGTTGCAAAGACTCATTTCAGCTAAAATAATGTTTTTCGGAATAATAAAACCAAAAGATGGTATGATGGCATGTTTTACTTGTAACTTACAAGAAGAGGTTACAAAGTATGCGTTGGAAACATAAAACCTGTAAATTTTGCTTTCTATTAGTCACAATCAGCGATTTGCTGATCGCTGAGTGAGTGAGTGAGTGAGTGAGTGAGTTTGTGAAAAATCGCTGATTGTGACTCTCATGAAGTGAAATAAACAGGTTTAATATGTCAAACACATTCTTTGCAACCTCTTCTTGTATCCTACCAATTCAAAATTTGATCATGGCATCTAATTATTTCATAATTTAGAAAAACATTGTTTTAGCTGAAATCAGTCTATGCAACCTTGACCAAAACAATAAAGCTTGACTTTAAATATGTATCTATAAACGTTGTATAAAAGTTGCTTCTATCCGGTTGTTAAGGAGTCATTGAAAAGTGCTATAAACGCTTTTCACCGCTTGCTGTACAATGATTATTTAGGAGTCATAAAAGAGTGCAACAAACGCCTCTCAGGTTTACTCTCTACTAAATTTCAAAGCAGCTGTCAAGAAGTGTCTACAAACGTTGTATAAGAGCTTTCACCAAAATAATAAAGCTTGAGTTTAAATATGTATCTATAAACGTTGTATAAAAGTTGCTTCTACTCCTATACCGCGTATATATATAATGCTGTAGTTGAACAGGTTCTCCAAACCAGTGTAAACAAGAGTTTTACAGAAGTTGTAATAAACAAATTGTACAGTTATTATTCAGCATGCAGTTGAATAAAATCACAATGGAAGCGTTTCTTCAACAAGAAATTGATTTTGGGTAAACGTTTTACTGAATACGTTAGACAACACCTTTGTGTTGCAGTTGTATAGGTTCTCCAAACCAGTGTAAACAAGGGTTTTATAAAAGTTGTGGTGAACACATTGTGCAATTATTATTCAACATGCAGCTGAACAAAATCAAAACGAAAGCGTTTCTTCAACTGAAAATTGTTACTTGGGGTGTTCTTCAAAATCCTTCACGTCGCCACTAGAATTCCAAAGCTGTTTTCGATGGTCTTCCTGGCTCTGCACAGTCGTTGATTGAAGTTGTCTTGAATTGGAGGTAGGTCAACACCTGGATATGGCCAGAGCAAGTTATTCTTAAGAGGAAATTCTGTATTCCCAACAATTAAATACGGCATCACTTCATTTGAGCCTGGCAACTTTCCAGTTGCTGGCAAATCCAACTCACCATTCACCAATCACCCCCCAAATTCAGCGGTCGTCAGAATTTTAGTACATGACGGATGCGTTGACGCTGACGGTGACGGTGACGGACTATTGTGGGTGTCCCTTTACTGTCCGTAGCTTTGTTAGCGAAAGTCGAGGCGAAAGTGGACGATCTCTGGAAAACGTAAGATTCCGAAACGTTGAAGGGGCTTAAGGCCGGCACACAATGCATACGTTTTCGGGTTTTTTGACAGATAATGCATGGGCTAACTGTCAAAAAACCAGAAAACGTATCTATTGTGCGCTGGCCTTTACGGGTAAGTCAATACAGTTTTATCCAATATGGCATTACAATATTTTAGGTAATTAAATTTTATCGCAACACCTGCCTTTATTTTCAATGTATTTGAAAGTGTTTTATTTCAACGAGGACAAAAAAACCAATATGCATCCTCAATTTGAAAAATGGGTATTTTTTAACCATTTTACGGTAAACACATTGTAAAAATATGGGTAAAAACACCCATTTATTGGCATACCTTCCATTTACCCAGTAATGATTAAGCACCAGTCGATCGACAGCACAGGGATTTTCGAACATAGAAAATAACTTTCGAAATACCACTTTTAACCACGAGTTAAATTCAACACGGCAAATGGTTCACAGCCTAAATGAGAAGGAGCTATTTTTGACCCATAATGGGTTTTTGCGAAACACCATGTACAGAAAATATGCTAAGTGCACGAGCTCGCAGCACGCAGTCCCTCGTTTTATTTTTATAGCAAACTTTTATGTACCTTCACTATTATAGCATCGACTACTCGACCACCAGTCCGATGCCACATTTCGGCCATTACATAAAACGTCAACATCAGCATTAAAATCAATTTTTCCCTGTTTTTCATGTCGCTGCGTACGAAGTGATTTTTCTTGGTGAAAAAACGCGTAAATTATTGCACTAGTGCGTGAAATTTGTGCTTATCAGTGCTAAAACCAGTGCATTATCATGGGTCGTTCACGTTCCCGTAGTCGGACGCCGAAAAAGCACAAGAGCAAACACCGAAAGCGAAGCAAATCCCGATCATCCTCCCACAGCAAGCACGAATCCCACCGCAGTTATGACAAATACAAGGAGCGCAGTTCCAAATCTAGGTAAAAATATTCGTTTTCTACCGATCTCTGCTTCTTCTTTCTATAAATTGAATAATTTCTAACCATTTATATTCAACGAAATTTTTCAAATTCGTGGTTGCTAAATGTTTTACTTTCTCAAACCGAACCACATTCTCACTCGAAAATTATTGTTTAGAATTTAGATTGATTGTTGTCAAAAAAGGAAAAAGAGACGTGTACTTTGGGTTGCAATGCGACCGAAAGTGCCATTTTTGCAGGAGCAGGCATCCCCCGTGCTTGTTTACCCGATGGAGGAGGTAATCGGAACAAACCCAGAAGTAACTGCGTTTTGCACGGCCAAACCCCCAAGAGAGAGTAGGTAGCCTTGAAACCACTACTTTTTTCAACATAGACATATTTGAGGTTAGGTGTGCCACGGAAGACGAACAAGAATAACAATGTTGTATCGGGGCGAAGAACCGATGGTAAAAATAGCCGCACATAAACAAAAAAAAAACCAAAATGCTCTGTTGGCTTTCTTGCATTTCGTTTGTTTTATTTTTATTAATCATTGTTTTACATATCGGGGAATATTTAGCGATAAGGGAATCGTTGCTCTGTCGAATTCCGCATTTCTAACACCGATCTTTTACCGTCTCCCAAAATCCCACATCTGGGGATTTGCAAACATTGTAGGAAGCGCTCGTTGTCCGAATCATCCGATAGTAGTAGCGATAACCACCATCACCACAGAAAGAAGAGCTCCAAGAGCCGCAAGCTGACGGAGGTCGAGCGACTAGCCGAGATGGAAAGACAACGAAGGCAGAAGGAGGCGGAACAAAAGGTAAGGGCGTTCGAGTTGTAGTGGATTTTTTCTAGAATCTAAATTAGTTGACGAATTCAATATTTTTAGATGATAGAAGAAGAAGCGGCTAAAAGGATTGAGCTGCTGGTGAAGAAGCGAGTTGAGGAAGAACTCGAGAAGCGGAAAGATGAGATTGAAACGGAAGTGCAGCGTAGAGTCGAAGCTGCCAAGAAGCAGATGGAGCAGGAAATGATGCTTGAGCTGGAAAAGCGTCGCGAGCAAGCTCGCGAAGAAGAACGCCGCAGAGAGGTAAGGCTTTGCTTCACCAGATGCGTGCCTGTATGGCTGGCTGTTGGTTGACCGCGCCTTCCTCTGGAACTTCTCTCGCAGAGTGCATAGAGGAAGGTATGTCGGTTTTTTTTTTAGAATATTTGCATTCTCTCTGATGTGTGGCTACCTCGCTAGCTGGCATTGTACCGAGCAAATGACGAACTTTTGGTGTGTGTACTATTGAAGTCATGTACGACACCCAAATTGCTGCAAGGCGTTTTGAACATTTAAAATCTGCTAACTGTAAACCGTTGCGTTGGGAAACCTATCATCGAAAACATTTCTATTGAAGTTCTAGTTTCAATAAACTTATCAGCACTAATTGCATGAGATTACATGATTTAGGTGTTGTCGAGAAATGTTTTTTTTTTTTTTATAACTGCCAAAAATATTACTTAGAGCTTATTTCCTACTCCCACACCAGCGACCAGTAATTGTAATTTACTGCTAACAAACGAGAACCTGCCAGTTATACAACTATACATCAGGTCAATGAAAAAAAAAAACACGTACTTGTGGTAGGATTCGGAAGGACAAATGATCTTGCCCGGTCGTTACGACCTCTTAGACTAGGTGTGTATTGCCTGATGTAGGCTAAGAGGGGCATCCCGCACTCCAGTCCAAAACCTCTGATTGCTCGAAACAAATTAATTGGTAGTAGGTTCAATATCACCATTGATATGATTAATGACTAACGCACAGGAAGCGCGCTATGTCCCTCCTCCAATTCTGGACGGATTTTAAAATTCTTACATAGAAAATGTTCAAGATCTTGAACTTGGATGTGGAATTCGAAACTTTAATTCATTGATGATTTAAGATCTTTGACTTACCAACATTTAGTCAATGTTCAACTTTTCATGGTTTTCATTGTCATGCTGTTGTCCTAAAACTGATTGCCATGTCCTAAAAACGTTGCGGCAATTAGAGTTGTTGTTTTATCAATTATGACATATGTTTAACTCATTTAAATACAGCTTATTTTTACTGTAAAAGTTCTGGAAAGACCTGGAAAACTCCGAGAATTATAATGTATTCAAATCAGGGTTCCTTCCACTCACTTGCTATAAAATGTTGCTTTTCGGAATAATGAAATCATTAGATGATATCATGATATGTTGTACTTGCAAGTAACAAGAAGAGGATGAAAAGTGTGTGTTTGACTCATAAAACCTTTCAATTTCGCTTTCAGAGCGGCACAATCAGCGATCTTATGATTCGTAAGCGTTCACTCAGAGTGAGCGCTCACGAATCGTAAAATTGCTGATTGTGACGCACTGAAAGCAATATTGACAGGTTTTATGTGTCAAATACATACTTCACGACCCCATATTTTAAACTTCAAGTACTAATAACCATTATAACATCTAAGGGGCCGCATAGCCTAGTCAGTAAAGGCACGGTATTACCAAGCTGGAGGCGGTGGGTTCGATTCCCGGTCCGGTCGAGAGAATCTTTCGGGTTGGAAATTTTCTCGACTTCCCTGGGCATAGAGTATCATTGTGCTTGCCACACAATATACAAATTCATGCAGCTCTCAATTAATAACAGTGGAAGTGCATTAAGAACACTAAGTTGAGAGCACGCAATAAGCTAATATGCGCTAAGCAATAAGCTTGAAATGCGAACAAGAAGGAGAAGAACATCTAATGATCTCATAATTCAGAAAAACAATGTTTGATAGCAAGTTAGTGGAAGCAAACCTGATTCAAATGAGCAGACATCCTGTGAGATGAACACAGGCCGCTTCACGTATATTTATTTATTTGTCAACATCAACAGACTCGATAAGGTCACAATGATGGCTTAACTTAAAATTAAAATTAAGGTAAGTCATCAGTTAAAACAACAAAACATTAAAACATGATCATTGACAATTTACATTTCTATAGAAGGATGAAGAGAAATGTCTCCGAAGTGTTTATCGTTGCAGATAAAAATCGAATACTGATGAAACTCGGTTAAATACTCGCTGCAGTCCGCCTATTGCACCGTTGATTGCATAGTTGGTCCGACGTAGTGGCAGTCTCAGCATATCATTGTTACGAAGCATTCGGGCTTGGACTTGGACATTAATGTTTACTTGCTCCAAGATTTCGGTGTCCGCGCCAAGCAGGACTTTTGAAGTATCTCTTCTGGTGCGAAGAGGCTCCAAGTCAATCAGCTGGTAGCGACTTTCATAGCTAGGCAAATGAACCGGGTCTTTCTAAGGTAACATCCTCATACCACTATTTACTTTCACTATCACTTTAAACTTTAACAGATACGTATTTCGTACTACAATGTACCCTAATTCCGTTCACCTAAGGCAGTGAACTGAAGTCAGTGTTCTAAAAAAATTACTTTTCATATTTGAATGTCACAATTACCTACGCTATATTGTTTCATTCTGTTTATAGTAAAAAAATATGGTTAAGCATTATCACTGCACTTCTGCTGTGATAATTCATACAAACTAAATCCGTTTATGATCCTAATTCCAATCAGCAAAAAAGGCTTTGTTCCTTATTCCGTTCATTTGTGTGCCAATCACCCCAAAGTATTACATACAAAATGATTCATCAAATGAATCACATTCCATCAAGGTTTCCAAGGCGATTGGGCTAACTGATCAGCAGCGTTTTCTCAAAACAATGCAGTGTAAAATTCTCTATCGGAGTTTCCCACTTTTGCGTGAACGTACTTTTGGCCGGAACCATCCAAAACAATTTCCTTGGTAGGAATTGTTCGTACTGCTGTCTCGTCAAGGTTGAATATTGGTTCAGAAAATATCGGAAAACATGAATTTCGGTGAACCATTTGCGGTTCAAAAACGGCAGCCCGATGCTCAGCTCGTGAAATCTCCGGGTGACGATTAAGAAACGAATTAATCCATTTCCGACCAGGAACTCCGTTTTGACCGGGTTGGAGATGCCTGCATGCAATGTTCCACGTCACCACCAATCAGCAACTCGTGTTTCCTCAACAGTTGTAAGAACTGTAGCTTTTCGCGGAATAGCTTTGGAATATTTTCCCAGGAACCTTTCAAGTAGGTTTGAATTTGGAACTCCGTACAATTTGGCCACTTTCCGGATGGGACATCCAGCTTTCCCCTTCGCTATAGCGGAAAATAATATATTTAGATTGAAAATAAATATGATTCTACTGCAATATTTACTTTGCTAAGATTCTAATTATAAGTCTTCTACACTGCTTATTCAGATTCCAGCACTAGTACTGGAATTTTATGAACCAACTCATATAATTTATATGTTTTATTGCACACAGGTGCATTGAGAAAGATTTTGAACAAACGACACCCCCGAAACGGAACATAAATTTGTCAGTGCTATTTATCGTCACTCTAGCAAAATGAGCTTAACGTTGCACTACATTCCATGTCGGGAGAGCTGTTCTTACTTTATGCTAATTGAACAAGCTCTATCTCGAAGCCAGCCGTGGCCCAATGGAACCAAGTGAAGAAACCGACAGCATCACACCTCAACAGTCCTGGATCGAATCCAAAATAAGCTACAATAAAAAAAAACGCAACTGTGAAAGCACTCAAAGCACACAAACTCCCACTGCCTGATGCTTATTTTGATTTATTTTTTGAACCGATAAAATATATGTGTCAAAGCAATAAGTAAATTTCATGTGATTTTCATATAAATTTTAATGAGATTGATTTCATGTATATGATATGGTAGTGAAAAGTAAAGCTTATGCTCATGGGCTTCAAATCCATTTCCGTTAATTCTTATAATTTTCCAATTTTCATTTATCATATGACGATCATGTAAAAGCTACAGACTTATCAGCATTGTAAATATATCAGATATTCATATAGAATTTACCTGACACATTTTCAATCACATCGTTTTCATTGGATTTTCTCATAGCGCAAATTTATTAGACTTCCACATAACAGGAATGTGTCATATTGGTTCAGTGTAGATGAATGTGAAACGTCATTTCAAATATAAGGACCGTACATAAATAATGATACAATTTGAAAGGGACCGAGACTAATCACAAATTACGTCCCCACGGTAACTGAAATAAACACGAGTGTTCACCGGTTGCCCGAACCTTTAGTCAAGGAAGTGCATCATCACCCTGCTTTAGTTATCGTAATCGAAAATAATATTATCCATGATTTCACCAGCACTCCAAACGCTGTGTCATTTCCGTAGAGCTGACCATCGCAGTATTGTCCATGTGCTGTCTAACCTAGATTGGGATCATATTCTAGATCCTGGAGACTTCAACATTGCTACACAAACCTTTTCTCACGTCTTGGCATATGTCATTGACAGACACGTTTCCAAAAAGATCATCCATATCGACTCTCGCGTCCCGTGGATGACGAAAGATCTTCGCTCGTTGAAAAGAACTAAGAAAGTTGCTCTCTGAAGATTTACTAAACTCCGCACACTGGTGCTGAAATGCTACTATGTCAGACTCAACAATTTTTTTTTGTAAAACAAGTTGGTTTTATTTGTCAGTTTGTTTGATAAAAGTAATTATAATTTGTTATTCTAAATCGAGATGAAATTTTAGTGCGTCTACATCAATTCTTTCGTTACATTCACAAACAAAGCAGATGTATTTAATAAAAACCCTAAGCACTTCCGCGCGCCTTCTTCTGTCTACTCCTGCTAGGGCAGAATTCACCAAGACTTCAAAAGAAAGCCGTCTCCATCTATTCATTATGGCTTCTATCCTCTGCTGTAGAACCGTCCAAGCCGGGCCGACACGAGCATAAGCACAAAATTTATGCAGAAGAGTTTCAGTCGTGTGATTGCCACAATGTGTGCAGTTTTCGTCCGGTACTCTCTGCATCACGAACAGTAGTTTTCGGTGTTCGATTTTCCCATTCATGAGCAGGTAGAGTTTTGATCGCTGCGTTGAAGATAGCTGCTTTACTGCAATGTTCCGCCACGTACGTGGCCAGTCGTTTCCCGTATTGTTTTGTTCCACCTTTGGTCGTTCAGTTT